TTCTATGCTTGAATGTAATAAATGTTCAGGGGATTCAATTTTAGAAAATGATTTTTTTTCTCCCTTGTTTTATGTCCTCATTACGAAAATTCCATTGCAGCCAAAAAATTAACATTAACATTTGATCATGTTACAAACATACACAAAATTGTATCAACCACATTAATTTATTTATCACGATATCTTTACATTCAAAGTTTGATGTCATGTTTACTCATGTTTGCTATTATTTGCTTATGATAGCACACATACGCAAACTTCTGGAGTTATCTTATCATCTTTATATCACTACGTCTGGAAAACAAAATCTAATAAGTAATATAACAAAAAGTATTATGCAAACACATATTAACCTCATTCGATGTATCATATGACATGTTTATTTTAAGTGCAAATAGATTTGTTAGTTGATCTTTCTAGTGGAATAAAAAAATCAATTTGTATCAGATCCTTCCAACATTATAAGCCCCAAATACACTCTTTACATATTTCTGAAAATCCTTTTCGAATCACGACAGCAAATCCACACTTGTATGAATAACATTAGATTACAATAACTTTTTTTTTTGGGGGGGGGGGGGAGGAGAGGGGGAGGAGCCTAACTTTGTAATACAGGCCATTAATGCACAACTTAAATTAAGATTTTCCATATATCTTGGTATCATGATTAATCAATCTCCTTTTTGTTTTAGTATTTCTGAACTTTCGTTTTAGTATTAGTTTTCATACTCATCTTTCTCTGATTTATCTCTCACACGAACGTTTCTAGTACTTTTCTCTACAACTCTCTCTCTCTCTCTCTCTCTCTCAGATTCAATCTCTGCTTGCTATTTTTCACCTCCTGAATACTTCTTATTAATATTTTACTATTTTCTGTTTTCTCTATACCTTAATTCAACTGAACTTTGGTTTTTGTTGTCTGTCTTTCGTCTCCTTGATCCCACCATATATTTGCCTGCCTTTTTCTCTCCATTCCCATCAATCTCTTTTCTTCAGGCTCAAAATGATTCCTACGTGACAGGTCAAGGGTCATACATTGTGCAGTGCCTTCTCAAAATCTCATGCCGCTCTAGTCTTAAAACATAGACCATTTGTCTCGACACAAACATGACATGACTGCTGGATCACTATGACAACCCTTTTTCAAACGAAATATCAATTATTTCTTCATTTTGGTGCTGCATTCAGGCCTACACGAAAATATCAACAGGTTTCTACTTTAGAGAGACATCATTAAAAATCAGCGTATGGAAGTTAACAGCATAGAGAGAACGCGTATGTTCTGCGACTCACAGACTACAACGCCCTTTTCTCCACAAGACTATGGTACATGTTGTAGGGACGATTCTTTGCCGAAGATTCAATATGGCGGTTTTCTCCTTCACACGGCATGGCACTTAGTGCACGTTTAAGGGACGGGTTTTGCCAATGCCAAGTTTCCGCGATACAAGGGCATCTGAAAAACCAGCTCCCTTCATACTTATCCCCTTGATTTAGATCTTAGAACACAATTAATTGGTGTCAAACTGTTGGAATGTTATCAATTTGTTCCTCCAGAACTAACCATTACAAAAAGCTACATAAAATCAATTCATATATATATATATAGTAAAAAATATCTTGCTCTATACTATATGAAAGAAATACAGAAGCTAGATGCAGTTCTTTTCATTAAAGTTTAGTTTCATGATTACTCATGCATTCTAAATAACATTAAAATGATATGCATAGTAAAACCTTTTAGCTGATCACAAAATAAAAGCATTTGCTTTAACAAATTGATAATATGCCTAAGACCCACTACATACTTCCGAACTAATTTGGATGAGGTACGAGTAGTCACAAGACACAAAATTCTGTAATCAATATTTGAAAATTTTGCTAAATGAATGGGGATCTTTAAAAACCGGTTTAAACTGCATTTGTATGGTTCCGTATTTACTTGAGTCTTGCAATACTCACAAACTCTTCTATAAAATCAAACTGTTTTCCGTTTTCTTTCTATATTCTTTCGAGATTCACGGACAGTTGGGCCATCGATCCATTCATAATGTCCGTTCATTCGTTTAAAACAAGATAGAACCATGCTTTTATCTCTATCTTTCCTCCATGGCTATCTTGTCTTCTAAACATAACCCTCCCTTCTGTTTACTCTTCTCATATTTCTTTTCCTTCTCATTATTCTCTCGTCATTATTCTCTCCATTTTCTATCTAATTGGGAGTGGGCAAAGGTGTTGGTATATATGTGCTGGTCATCAAGTCAGTGATATTGTAATTTACTTTTCTTTCATGATTAATTTGCAAGTGACAATGGCTCAAATTCATAAAGGCCGATATATATATAAGCCTGGTTAAAATCTTAGTGCAATTTGTCAATCATTATTATCATTATCATTATTATGCGCTTTGTATCATATGAAAAGATGCTTTATAAATGAAATGTTCTTATCATTACTTTATTATTTTGTACAAAATGCAGGAAATGTAGTTCTGTAAACAAAATGAACAAATTTGAATGAATAAAGTCATGAAATGAAAATGAGAGATTGACTTCATGATGACATTATTTTTTCTGGTTTCTTTCATTTTTTACAGAATTTTTCAAATCATCACAGAGGGGTCACTTGGCACTCCATAATGAGGTGATCTAACTCCAGCCACTGAGCCATGATCCGGCTTTAAACCCGTGGACTATTATAATAAGTACACTTTTATGGATACAGCCCATGTGTTAATGCTTCTATCCAGTCTTGTTTTCATTCCATGGCATTGGGCTTTGTGGTTTCAAATATTTAATCTTTTTATGTTGAAAATGTAAACCAAATTTTCTCATTAATTCTGCTTAAGACCTCCCCCCATATCTTTCTCAGTAACTACCATATCACACTCACAATGAAATCAAAAATACATGCTCCATTCCTTTTGTGTCTCTGGATTTAGTTTCATGGTTTTATCTGCATTGTTTTAGGGATAGTTGTAAAGCTTTTGAAACCTTATCGTGCACTTTATCGACCTCTTCAAACCTTCGTGAAATACAGCACATCAGCAGTTTTCAAACCACAATGCTGTGGCTATTGTTTATTACCGAGAGATTAGATCTCTTTCATCAACCTTTTTCCTTTACAATTTAACAGACCAACAGTCTTTATATTACTTTGAAATTCATCTCAGTAATTTTCAACATCCCAAAAACAATGTTTTTTCAACCTTCTAAAATCATAAAATAATCTACAGAGAAAGGTTTCTTCAAAAGCACTTTTGGCATCTATAATATCATCTTGAAATATAAAAACAGCAATATTTCAAAAAAATTTTAAATTCTGAAACAATAGGAAATGGTAGACTGTTTTTCAAATTCAAGCAAATCGGGTTACGGACTGAATGGTGTACCCCTACCCCCCCCCTCCAAAAAAAGGGTTCCTTGATCTACTCCATCTTCCATTAACTCGTAAATATATATTTAAAAAACGTAAGTGCTCAAACTTATACAGGCAACCACTAAGTCCCTATTAATCATCAACAGCAAATTTCCACTTATCATTATTCTCCACTATCGAACAGGCTTTTGAATTGATCATTTCTCTCCACAGCACTACGGGTCAACTTTCTAGGGCAGAGGTTGTTATATTTACTACAACCTCAAGCTCAGAGTCAGGCTCTTTGCATTCAAATCATGATCTACTTTCTCTAGTGTACGTAGTCTTGTCAACGACACAAAACAGCCCTTTCAGCTGTAATGCATAGAGTGTCTAGATCTTTAATCCGCTCTGAATACATCAGCCATTAGCTAAAATGAGGATACATATCTGCCAAAAGCAATTAAACTTTGAAATGCTCCCACAACAGCTTGGAAATCATAACATGAGAGTGAATACTATATGAAATTTATTTATTACAAAATACAAAAAAATGACGTTAAATTTTGTAAATATAATTGATCTCTTTTTTTAATGAACATCCCTTGAGAAGAAAAATAAATAAATCAGCATTTACCCTGCTAAGATATCAAACAGTACAGCAAGGATTTAACGATACAGTAAAACGTTAACATCTTTTCTTCAATTAAAACCACTAGAATAGGGATTATTTGAAGCTCTTTCTAAAGAACTATATATTCAGTTTGTGTAGTTAGTTCATATATCATTCAAATTCAAAGCCATATCTGATTCCCTATTATTTAATTACTGGACAGAAAAGTTAATTTAAAAACTTTCATGTGATAGAAAAAAATAAGTTAGAAGCTTCATTATTACAACTGATCCGGCTCAAAGAATTTTGATAGCATTAAGTCTTAAGAAGGGAGACCTGCAGACAAAAAGTATGAAATCAACTTTAAGTTGATATGTTTGAACAAAAATCATTCAAAATGGTGATGGAAGCAAGATGACACGGACAGTCAATGGTAGTTTCTATGACATTTCTCCTCTATTCATTATGATATCTATGGTTTCTAGGACATTTTCTGTTTTGTTATTCCTAAATTCTTCAATAATTCTTAATGAAAATTAACATTTCTTATTGCAAAACATTTTCCCTTGACACACAATATAAATCGTTTTTTCGTAACACTTTAAGGGATGAATTTTTTTTTCTTATATTCTCTGCCAAATTTCCAGCAATTTTTTTATTTCATGACCTAATCAAAGTGTTACAAGTACAATTTATCTGTAACCTTTATTCAATATTATTTAATTGAGGTGATTTTTTTTTGCCATTTTGTACATATATGTTATATTTTTCTGGGGGAGGGGGACAAGGTGATCTTTTCATAACCATATCCCAATGATAGGACACTGTTTGTGGCTAACCTAATTATCTTAAGACATCATGAGACTTGCATGCAGCTTGCACAGACTTTTCTGATTTCACTTTTAGAAATCAGCGGTTTACAGGAATATATGAAGAATCATAAAATATAATTTTTGCATATGGTTAGATCAGTCGAGATGACATCCTTGGGAAAGGGTGGTCCATGCTTGGATGGGACGGGGGTACTTACACACAACACGCATCTTGTCTTCTGCCGACTTGCCCTGAAGTTTCCTCTCCGTCTTGCCCGACATGAGAAAAACCTGGTCCGCCGAACCACGACGCTCTACGATAGCCAACAGTACCTCCTAGATTATATCCAACCGCATACATGTACGTACGGCAGGGCACAGCACCGATATCCAGAGTTAACACTTCCACACCAGACGAGCTCTCCGTTGCCCCAGAAGCAAGAGGGGGGCTGATTATGCCTACACCCTGTGCACGCACTTGGGCCACATGAACATCATAAAGAAAACAGGATCAGATGAAGACAAAATACAGAGGAAACACAGGGTCCTGCTTTGACGCTAGCTCCACAACAAAAATTCCTAGGGATTAATACGGATGGCTAATTCCTTGGATTGGCAACTTTCTTGGCAAGATGGATGTATGCCGCGGCTATAGTCCCATGCTAGCGATTCAAACGCAACCCTGATCCATCAAGGCTTCTGTGAAACTCGTTGGATGAATGAATGAATGAAAGAGACAACGAGAGAGAGAGAGAGACCGAGCCCAGCCGAAAGCACGAGAAAGAGAAAAAGAGAACGATCGGTAGTCCGTCGTGGTCTGCATTTAGAAATCCTACACAGCCGGCGAGTAGCGCTGCATGTGACGTCCCGCTATTGCTCTACAGAAATAGCAGGGAAACCTTGCCGACCGCTTATATTGTGAATGAAGCAAGCATACACTGACTTGCGTACAACGTACAACGCACATGGATAGCAATGCGACGACATGACCTGCAACGTACATCGAATAGGGTGCTCCCAGCTTTACCGGTATCTGGATTCCCCTATTTATTCTACGCTGATACCATGTACACGCACAATATCTGTGCACATGTGCACCACTATACAGCTAGTGTGTGTGTGTGTGTACGAGTGTGTGTTAATGTTCATCTCAGTCATTGATATGTGTTTGCGTTCTGTGTAGAGTGAGTGCGGGAGACCGGGCAAAAAGGGAGAGATAAAAAAAAAAGGGGGGGGGGGGGGGGAGAAAGGGAAAGAGAAGGAAGGAAAAAAGGAGGGCCTTGGTGAGCTCATTTCGGTACCCTGCTATGTATGCACTCCCATGCTGAGCTCCATTGTGTGTATACATGGTGGTAACGGCACTGCCTCACACACAAACACACACACATGAAGAGTGAATAGAACGTCCTACAAAACGCTCTATGCATTCTTATGCCCTTTGAGCTGGCTCGTGACCTCAACGAGGCTGGGAAAAAGATTTACATTAGTCTTATTCGTCAGACCCTACTACCTTTCCGGCAAAGGACGATATCACGAGTCATATCTTACAGAGACATCAATATATATATTCCATGAATACCTCAACATTCCATCTATCAAAGGTCATTTACTTGAATTGAATAAATTAATCTGAAAATTACAATTATTAATTCGAAATATATATTCAAAAATAATTATGCCTAATCCTTATCTGTTCACAGCCAACACAGTCCATAATCAGAAAAATTATTTAAAAAAAATTAGTACTCCACCATCCTCTTTATATCTAGTAACAGAATACAATGATCTGATGAAACAACTCATTTACAAGACTTTCTATCACATTGACTTATATTTTATGCTTATATGATCTCTCCCATCTCCCTGCTATTGCTTCCCAAACCCTCACAGTACGTAATTTTAAAGTGAGCTCAGTAAGGATAATTTTCATACAGAAGTTTGTTGATTGCATATGGAAGAGGAACACAGAGGACATCAATTTGCAAGTGTGCATAGAGATTGCTCTCACATAATTTCTCCCCTGCAGGTGCACTGTTGAAATGGAGTCTGATGTACCATACTTCATACTTCATATTTCATTTTCAACGCATCCCCCCTCGCTTTTGGCCCTGATCAGGGAGAGAGAAAATAACAAGCCTTGACCTCAAGGGGGCTCGTTTTAGCACCAGTCAACAAAAGACAGGAAAGACAGAGACAATACTACTATACTGGAGAAGTGAGACGGACAGACAGAGATACACAAAGAGAGGGAGAAAGAGAGAGAGGGAGAAAGAGAGAGAGGGAGAAAGAGAGAGAGAGGGAGAAAGAGAGAGAGAGAGAGAGAGAGAGAGAGAGAGAGAGAGGGGGGGGGGCAGCAGGGGTGAAATGAAGTAAAGAGAGAAAAGGGATGAGAAAGAGAAAGAGAGAGAGCGATACAGAGAGAGAGAGAGAGAGAGAGCGATACAGAGAGAGAGAGAGTGATAGAGAGAGAGAGAGAGAGAAGGAAAGAGAGAGAAGGATAGAGAGAGAGAAGGATAGAGAGAGAGAAGGATAGAGAGAGAGAAGGATAGAGAGAGAGAAGGATAGAGAGAGAGAAGGAAAGAGAGAGAGAGAGAGAAAGAGAGAGAGAGAGAGAAAAAGGATAGAGAGAGAGAAGGATAGAGATAGATGCAAATGCTGTGGTTCATTTGGGCCAGACTTTCGATCTAGTCTCCAGTCGAAGCCTCCTAGTATATATAATTGACCATCTTTCAGAAACGGACCCCGCAATTAAACCCATGACTTCACGCTTTCAACAGCCCTGATACTGGAGAAACACCATTTTACGACATGAAAATCATCAACATTCAATTACAACATTATAATTCTTCAATTTAACTTTTATTTATTGGACAATACAAGGCTATCTAGTAACATAAATACATGAATGAGGTAAAAATACTATAAGGTGGAATTGATTAAAAATTATTTTGAACGGTTTAATTTTTCTTCTTCCATTTTCCATTAAAAGAAAGGATCATACGACACTTAAAATTAGGATTGTAAGACAACAGATCTGGCTAATATCGCTCTGTGGCCAAGTTCTACCACTAACAATATAGGCCAACCTAACCCTAACAATTAACCAATACCCAACCTACAATGTCAATGAATCATGTGGTAACATTAGATCTTTAATGAATAAACAAAGTCTAGAGCAAATGTTACTGAAGCAAATGTTGGATTACCCTCCAACAGAGCAAGTTCTATTTCATATTCAAGTTCAGGGTCTGAATACTGCAGACTAGCAAGGCTCAAAGGGGTTATCATATGTTTTGCGGTTTGGAGAGGTTTAGGTTCACTTTGTCTGGTCCTAGTGGGGGGGGGGGGGGGGAGGAGGAGAGGAGGGTGCTATGTCTCATTCATAAAAACTGGGTTGATGAATTGGAGAATAATCAGAAACACACTCAAATTTGCAGGCCCCGAGTAAAGATTAGATCTTGGCGATCATTCCCCGTCTCTAAATTTCATATACCACCCCCCTCCCCCCCTCCCCGCCTTCTCGTGAAAAACCGAGATGGAGAAAAATATCAATTTTCATGCTTCATTAGCCGTATTACGCATGGGTCTTTTCCATATGGTTGATACTGATATATTTTTAGCTTATATAGTGTTTGAGGAGTCTAAAACGAGAAGTAGTGGGTTAATTATTCAGATGCTAATGACCCTCCAGCTCCAGCTCCAGCCAAGTAGAGCACAATATTTCTAACAAATCAAATCTCCATATTCTGAGGGATGGAGAAAATGGTCAAATCATGGTGGATAGACAAAGAGAGGGGGAGAGGGTGTGAAGGGGAGAGAGAGGGAGGGAGAAAGAGAGGGAGAGGGAGAGAGAGAGAGAGAGAGAGGAGAGAGGAGAGAGAGAGAGAGAGAGAGAGAGAGAGAGAGAGAGAGAGAGAAGGGGAGGGGGTATTACACATGCAGTCTAGGTATTACCACTACTCACATCTCAATTTGTTTACAACGGAATATGAGGGTATTGAATTTAATTGAATTTGATTAATTTGGTAAATAAATAAATAAGGAATGTAATCATAAGACAGCTTTTCACATCAATTTAAAATTCAGTTAAGTTCAGGGAGTAGTACAACATACATTAAGTTATTTTAGCAACAACAAGAAACAAGTCAAACCAGTCCACAAAATGCTATCCTATCATCACATTTTAATCAGAAATAGGAGTCTAGACATACAGCCTGGAAAAGATGATCTAAACACTGCCCTCTACCAAAGAGATAAACATCAAGGACGAGTGTATGTTGGATTGCATTGTTTGTATACATCTGGGAATGACATTTTACGTCACCATTTAAAAGATTCAAACATTGGACAGAACCCTGAATCTCTGTATAGGCAGACCGGAGAGCAAACCACTAGACCAACTGACTTTGTCTGCTTTAGAGTCGCATAAACACAGACTCAAACAGAGTTAAACAAACACAAGCCTGTTTTTCTAATAATACATACTCCTGCTCACAAAAGTTATTTTAACACCGAGTTAACGCCCTTCTAACTCCAAACAGGCAATTTCACCTGCTGCGAGTCAGGTAACGCCCTTCTGCCTCTGTAAGCCGCCATTTTAATGGATTGTCTTCATAGCATGCATCACTGTATTTGAACATGGATGAACCTACACAGACAAAAGATCTCAAAGTCCCCAATCAGATGTGATTCTAATAATTGACCCTTTCACGACCTCAGCGACACATTAATTATGGATATGGTAGAGGGGTTAGCCACGGGTCAGACAGAGATAGGTGCAATAAAGTAATTAATACTTTAACGAGGTAGGAATGAGGGAGATAGGGGGATTGCATTTATCTTTCTGTCTGTTGAGAGCGAGAAGGGCATTATATCTGTGTTAAATGGTGGAATCTAATGCCCTTTTGGCTCTAAGCATGTTTCCCCTGTATGTATTACAGGAAAGGATGCCGGAAGAAGGTGCTCCGACAATTGATACAGATACAGGGTTGAGGCTAGGGTTAGGGTTTTTTAGGATAAAGGAATCAAAAGGAATCAATCCTAAATACACCATCTGAAGATTCTCATTAGCCGACAGTATCTACAGGAGTTGTATTCAATCACAAATGTTTAATCTAGAATCTTTCTTTAAAAATATCCAGTGAATCATTACATTACCTTCATTAGCAATTAACATTTCAATCCACACAATTTCCAGATAACACCATGACATTGACTATCTCTCAATCTCCCAAATTAAACAAATACCAGCAACATTATAGCCCCATTAAAATTAATGACATATCAACAATTTAACCTTCGTTCAACCTCTTACTTCTTTACGCGTGCAAAAACGCACGTATCGTCTGTCAATTTGATCAGCAGCCAGAAAGGAATAATCTCTGTAAAATTACATGACTTCAATAAAAACTTTCTGGCTCTCAGCAGACAATATGAATTCTCTTTTTGAATTTTTTTTCTCCCATTTTAGATCAACCTTGGACCTAATTGGATAAATAAGAAAGCAATAAAATTGTGATTATTGCATGGCAATGAACTGAACCTTGCACAGTACGGGTGGCTGGTGACTCTAATCACACTCATTAATGACTTTGAGCAGACAAACCATAAATACTTTAAACCTCATAACTAATCTTCTGGTTCCTCTGTCTTTAGCTGAGGTTCATTCTAAATAGCACGTATTGTCTGCTTTATACTTCTGTCTTACAGGCATAAATCATGTATACAGCTGATGGCTTTTATCTCAAGCTATTATAGAAATGTATTTGCGGTTTGCTTTCCAGGGAGGGGAGGATGGAGAGGGGAGGGTGGGGAAAGAAGGTTGGGGAGGTGTGGCAAGGGGCTGGAGAGGGTGGGAATGGGGCAGGTGGGGGGGGGGGGGGGTCAAACGGGTCCGAGTTGCTTGTGTTGAACATGGCTGAATCAGCAGCTTTAGTGTAAAGGTCTCCCGTCAAAATGAAATTCCCAACAGAAGTTGCAAAAAAAGTTGGGTGCGCAAACAAAAAGGGATCATTCATTCTTCTTGAACAATCAAGAAATACTAAGATGCGTCTGTTTCTATTGACTCAATCTAGCTCCGGAGAGGCGTTTTCCATATTATAAGAAATTACTGGGAGT